CCACTTCCAGCTTTTTCTGTGTATGTAGTGCTGAGGAATAGAACCCAGGGCCTCATGCATGCAAGACAAGTACTCTACCACGGAGCCACCTTCCCAGCCCGCAACCCCCAATATTGAGGTCAGCCTCCCTGGCTCCTCTTCCTAGCCACATACCCGGAGCTGTGTCTGACTGCTGGAAGTTTCCAGCCTGGCTCGTCCACTGGGTCGCTGAAATGCACTCCCCAGCGACAGCCTGACCCTACAGTGACTTCCATTATTTTAATCTGCCAGCCCCCTTTTTTGTTACAGGATGGGCACCCCAACCTCTCTGATGAGTTCTTCTTATACCTCTACATGGTTCTGCTGAGAGCAATCAAACAACCTCCTCTCTCTGGCCCCTGACTTGGGCCTAGCCAATCACAGCTCCCCATGCCTGGTACAGTGATTGGCCCAGAAATGAGTCCGTAGGGAAGGCTGGCCAATCACAGTCCTTCCCTGGCCTTTACTATAGAGCCCCTGCACTGATGGCAGGTGGACAGTGTATGGATGTACTTCCTCTTCCCACCCTCCTCCCCGCCTGGCTGTTACCCAGAAAAAAAGCCTGGAAATGGCAGGAAGTGTGGATAGAGAGGTGGTGACAGGGCCAGGAAAAAGCAACAAAGCTACTGACTGGGCTGTGAGCGCAGGGGCCATTGCAGACCAGTATCCTGCTCATCCCAGGAATATCAGAATGCCAGAAAAGAGCAGCAATACAAAAGGCCCGGAGTGTGTGTGGGGGGGGCGGGGGGAGCTCTGTCACCTCTGTCCCCACAGCTCTCACCTGCAGCTGCGGGTGCATCTACCACATCGCTCTGCTGGGGAGCGAATGCCGAGGGGTAGCCGGTTAGAGTGCCAACCGCCTGGTCTCTCCCCAGTTCCTGGAGGTCTGGGGGTCTGTAGTAGTGCTCAGAGCCCCTGGGGAGCCGCCCTTGTGCCCCCCACCCCCTGCTGCCCACTCATCTTCTTGGGTTCTGGCCAGGCACGGGAACGTGACAGATCGGGAGGTGGGTGACCACAGCTGTCCCATCCGGACAACACTGGAGTCAGGGCTGTGTCCCCAAAGCCAGTGTGCCCAGCCCGGGGTAGGAGGACAGGGAATGCCAAGGAGAAGTTCAGAAGCTGCCCTGGCCACTCAGCGGCAGCCTCTCTCCAGTGTGGCGAGCAAGGCTGATGAGCGGTGCTGGTCAGGGTCTTGACCTCACCTCCTTCCTTCCAACTAGCATGGGAATGGCCACCTTGGTGTGGACAACCCGGAAGAGTAAGGGGGACTCAAGAAGTCTCCTCGGGGCTGGGAAGTGGCTCAGTGGTAGAATGCTTGCCTCGCATTTATGAGGCCCTGGGTTTGATTCCTCAGCACCACATACACAGAAAAAGCCAGAAGTGACGCTGTGGCTCGAGTGGTAGAGCGCTAGCTTTGAGCTGAAGAGCTGAGGGACAGCGCCCAGGCCTAGAGTTCAAGACACACGGCTGACAAAAAACAAAACAAAACAAGAGGTCTTCTGGGAGCCCAGATGCACGCCTGTAATGTCAGCTACCCAGAGGCAGGAGAAGCCTAAGTTCAAGGACAGGACCAGGGCAAGGGAAAGGCTCTGTCTCAAAACCAAAATAAAGAGCCAGGCGCTCATGACTCAGGACTGTAATTCTAGCTACTCAGGAGGATGAGATCTGAGGATTGAGGGTCCAGGAAAAATCAATGAGACTCTTATCTCCAGTTAGCCAGCAAAAAAAAAAAAAAAAAGAAGAAGGAAAGCTGGGGTTCACGTGGTAGAGGCTAGCCTTGAAGGAAAAAGCTAAAGGACAGCACCCAGTTCAAGTCCCCAAACCAGCACAAAACCCCAACCAAAAGACCTGTGGGCGTGACTTAATCAGCGCAGCCCTTGCCCAGCCTATGTGAGGCCCTAGGTTCAGTCTCCAGGGCTACAGAAGAATCTCCTAGGCACAGTGGGCACCCAGGAAACTGAGGTCCAGAGAGAAGGGCCTGGTCCCGGGGGTCCACAGGACAGCCAGGCTGAGCACTGCCTCCGGACACAACCCAGGGACAGAGGGCGAATCCTGCCCTGGGACTCTCCTTGGAAGGCCATCTGGGCAGGGTGGTGGGTGGCCTCTAGGAAAATGTCACCTGATTCCCAGCAGGGCTGCAGCCACCTGGGTAATGAGAGGCGGAGGGGACGGACGGCATGGGATGAAGGGGGACTGGGCACAGGCCTCTGCGACCCAGCTCAGGCTCTAAAATGTGAAGTGTGTGAGTGTATAGATGTGTGTGTGTGTGTGTGTGTGTGTGTGTGTGTGTGTGTGTGTGTGGCTG